ATCATAGGATTATTTTGTTGAGTGTCTCGACTATTGAAAGTTATAAAATGGTCCCTCAACTATAAGGTGTTGCTTTGTTGAGTCCATTGACTATTAAAAGTTATACAATAATCACTCGACTATTCATATGCTCTAAATTTGTCATTTTTTGTTAAAAAATTTGGCGACCATTTAAGTTGGGCGTTAACCTTCTCACTTAGATGTGATAAAATATCATCCCATAATTGTTTGAGTTGTATTTTGTGGATTGAATCTCTGTTTACAATATGACGTTGAGCCAATACTTGAAAGCAACGATAATGCCAGAAAACATCATTAAAATATGATTTTATCATATCACAATTAATATGATAACATCTAACTCAGACAACCCTTAATTTGTTAACGAAAAATGACGAGTTTGAAACATATGAATAGTCGGGTGACCATTTTGTTAGTAAAGAGACTCAACAAAGCAACGTCATATAATCAGGATATTATTTTGTAACTTCCATTTTTTGGAAGACTCAACTAGGGATGGGAATGGGTTGAAAATCATACATCCTCCACCCGACCCGAAAAATATATACACTCACCCAACCCGAACCTGACTTGACTATTTGAGATAAAACCCGAACCCGACTCAAAATAATATATTTGTTAAAAATGTTATTTTTATTCAATAAAATTAAGGATTTAATTGGAAAAAATAATATATAGAGGGGCATTATTGAAATTTCCCTAAATGTAAAGGTAAAATTATATATTTTTCTCAGGTCGGGTCGGATATTTTTCACCCTAAACCTGAACCCGAACACAACCTCTAAAAAACTCAACCCAAACTCGAATTTTAAAAAAAATATCTGACTCGATCGGGTTGAGTCAGGTCTGAACTCGTTGGATTCGGGTCCCATGCTCATCTCTGGACTCAAAAAAGTAACATCTTATAGTCAGAGATCGTTTATATATTTTACCCTAAAAATGCAAAACTATGAAAAAAATCACATGGATCTTTTCAAAGAAAATACACACACTGTGTGCCAAAGACACGAATAAGCTGAGTCAAACGGTAATGACAAAACACGTATATAGATATTGTTGAACTTGATCAGACTCATATCAATACAATGACAAAATATAGTTTTTGATACTGGAATCTCGAGTAATTCAAAAGACAATTATTGATAGAGAAAGACATGGGTCTAATCAAATTTTAGACTTGTCTTTGACAACTCAAAATTATTATATTTGATCATGAGTTTTTCAAATCTTATATTGTTTATATAAGAGTTTTTTTTTCAAGTGTTTAAATATAACTTTTTAAATATATATATTAATTTAGTGATTGAAGACAAAACGTGTACACAAATGTATCGTTGTTGATGTTGTTGTCGTGCTAGTGCAAATATATGTTCTCAATTCGTATCGTGTGTTTTTTTCTTTTGAAAAAAAAATTATATAATTTTTCAATTTTTTACGTATTTACCCTAATTTTTGTTTTACTCAACTCTTACAATCATATCATCATGTAGATAAAGTATCCAAATATGTGACATTCAGACTCTTACTTCTCAAAATTGGACCCGATATATGATTTATTAGCTTTTACATTTATGTCTTGATTGTTTTTATAAGTATTAATAAATAAAAGTTTGGTTATTAAAACAATTTTATCTTAGTATAAAGAAAAGAATATGATTATAAAATTATACTTTTAAATTTATTAGATCAAACAGAAGACTCGAATCTTGCGCAAATTGAATATAAAGAAAGAGAAAGAAACCAAAGGTTTCGACTAATGGATCATTAAAACAAATATATTTTTCTCAAACAAATTCTGGTCATTTACTTAATTGATCCCTTTGAAAAGACTGAAGGAGACAAAGAAGTTGCAAGTAAATTGATTCATTAATTTTGCTCAAAATGCATATCTTGCAATCCATGCTAACAAAAACATTATTAATAATAATTAAAGAGATTGTTATTATTTTTAATGATTTTAAGTTTGAGTATCACGCTGTAAAAATATTTAAACGCTCATTTATCGAATGGTTAAAATTTTTCAAACAAATACTAAAAAAGAATTACTAAAATTCCACTATCTAATTACCTGTAAATAACTCAATCAACATTGTAATTATGGTTAAAATTAATTATAAATATAAGATACAAACAGATAAATTGACAGTAAAAATATGTTTGAATATAAATCATAATAAATTTTGATATAACTAATACATAGTAAAACTTAAACCAGTGCAAAATTTGAATTGAAAAATCAAATTTACATAAATTTAAAGTCCAGACATTCAATGTCCTAAAATCAGACTCTTAAAAATTATATAAACGATAGACATTAACTGCACGAACCAAGCAACTTCATTAATTAAGGGATTGTTGTTATCTCTTGAGATATCGGGTTTGAGTATCGCATATATCAGGGTATGAGCCTCCATTGTCAAATGGTTGAGAGTTTTTGATAGTATACAACCTTATACTCTTCCTATACATATCAAAAATAAATAAATAGTTTAATTTCTTTAGATGTTAAATCTTAATTTTATTCCTAATAGTAGACATTAATTAAAATGTTGGAGAATCATTTGAATACATGTTTTTTAATAGTTTGCGCTATTATAAGGTAATATATGTTCATATATTTTCTTAATTATTGACAACGCACACATACTCTACAAACGTAGTTACTCAAACTCATAACATTTAAAAAAAAATATTCTTTTAATTATTAAGATCACTCAATAAATTCTATTTGTATACATATTGAAGATTAATGGAGGGTCATGAGCATATAGTCATTGTTTATAAGGTAGATTAGGCAACTAAATACGCGGTTACACATGATCCTATAATTGAGTGATTGACATAAACAATATTTTTTCTTTGTTTAATAATATTTTTGAAAATCTTTTTGTTTAGTACTTAAACTAAGCCCCATAGCTTGCATTGATGTGATGTAATGTTTGCATCATTATAGATGATAATTTTTAGGTCATTAGTTTATGAAATATAAGATTACATTTACGAATATGAATATCGAAATGTAATATTATTCTGAGAATATTGTGTTGCCTTATTTGGTTGTTTAGCAGGAATGTAAAATTAGAGTGTTTGATTTGAGGAATATAAAATTACTTAGATGCATATTTTACCAAATTATCCATGTGATATATGTTTTTTTTCAACTTAAATTATAATTATTTTAATGAAAACTCATAGAAATATTTTAATATAATTAATATAATTAGTATGTCTAACTTATATTTTTAAATAATATTCATAAGCACCATATTTATTTATATAAAATATAATATAATAAAAAAATAATATTATGATCTCAAGTGAAAAAAAGATATTTTACAATAATATCATTTTTCACCTTATAAAATTATAAATGATTAATATATCAAATATTAAAATATAAAATAATATAAACATTAAACATGGTCTCTCACAAAAAAAAAAGATAACTGATTGTAGATATGATTTTGAATAAAATAATATTTTTATTAAAACAAAATCAAAGTGATTGTTACGTGACTAAATACATAGTTTACCCTAAAAATATCTCACATTGAATCAATTGTCTTATTTTAATAATTTAATTATATATATATTATTTTAATAATTTAATTATATAAATTTTGAGTGTTTTTTCTCTTTCTCTCATATCATTATACGTATTTTAATTATGATTTTGGGGTGTGATATAACATATACTATTCAGCCTAGAAAAGTGTAGGTTATTTTTTTTTACTAGGGAACGAGGAACTGCACTGTTCCTTTCCAATTTCCATCTCCTTCTTCAATCACTCTCCCTTTATATACACTTCTCCTTAGCCCTTGACCAACACTTTCTCACTACAAATTCCCTTTAAGAATAACCCATCTCTCCCTCTCACCATGGATAAGGCTTATGGATATGAACCAGTTCAAACTCATCATCAAGCTGCTTCAGATTTCATGATGCTTCAAAGGAACAAATCTTCATACCAATCTAACGAAAGGCGAGGCCGAAGGAAATCAAACGATCCAACGAGGTTCCTTGGCGTCAGAAGGCGGCCATGGGGTCGTTAGGCGGCAGAGATCTGGGACCCCTCCACCAAAGAAAGGCATTGGCTCGGCACGTTCGACACTGCTCTGGCTTATGATCTAGCTGCCATTTCCATCAAAGGAACTCAAGCCTGGACCAACTTCCTGTACACTTTTCATTCTCCACCTGAACAAGCAACAAATCATGACTTTGGACCTCGGCCCTACATTTCTGAAACCCCCATTGAACCAATAGATGAAACTGGTTTGTTTTTCAGTACTAGCAGTGATGATAACTCGGGTTACTTGGCCTGCATTGTTCCTTATAACTGCTTGAAACCAACTTCAAACCTATACTCCATGAAGCAAAACTCTAATGAGAACCAATCCTATTACAGTAGCCATGCATTACCCAAGTCCAATGAGATTGAGTTTCCTGGTTTTATGGGGGATCAGATGAATTATTCCAATGAACTCTCGGCTACATTCAATCGTCCTCCATTGATGGTTGAAGAAACTTTTTATACTTGCAATGACAATCCAAACAGCTACACCACGATGCCGAGTTTAGGCGATGTTTTCGACTCGGGGTATTCATTTTCTGAAAAAATGGTTTAGCATTGGCCAGGTTTTTGTTTTGTTTTTGGTTTCCTCGTTTTAGGGTTTGAAAGACACAGTACGTACGAGGAATTAATGTCTTGTCTCCAGCCTTAACTTTGCCAAATCGAATGAAAGTTTAGATTTGTTGTCTATGTGCATGATATTGTCTACCTTCTTTACCCTAGAACTTGCATAAAAATGCTTGTATGGGTTCAGTCACCATTAATATATTGCCTTAATTTATTACATTAAGTACTGAATCTTAATGTTTGAGTATCAGATGTCTCAAATGATCAGGCACAGTGATGAACATTTAATACAATAAATTTATCAAACACAGTCGAGCATTTCCATTGTCACAACATAAATTATATGTATAATCGGATCCCCGCATAAATAAGTCACATTTTGATGCATCCGTTGGAGTTTTCCTCGAGTTACTTCTATTCTTCACAACCCCCCCTCATAAAAAAAAGGTGGGAGAACATGAACACACAGTTGATTTGAAGGGAAGACTGTTGTGGGATCGATCTTTTCTTTTTTGAAAAAAGATCGGGAACAAATGCATCATGCGGACTCCAAAATTTGGACAGGTTCTCCCTAACATAACTGCAGGATCTTCAGTGTTATTCAAAAGCAAGGTGTATGGGGTTTTGCTAAAAGTTTTAGGGTTAGGCCGTGGGTTTATTGGAGATGGAAAAGATGGCCCTATGATGATTATATGAATACAGATGATTGGAGATGTTATGCACTAGACCTTAACTGTGGAACCATGATAACAAAGAAATGAAGCCTCCTACTTTCGAAAACTTGCAAAAAAAAAAATTAATGTTCTGGTTCATGACCTTGATCAAAAAAGAGGATCGAGGCAGTTGCTTCCATTCTTAGCTGGAAGTGTGCGCCTTGGTGGTGATGGTGGTGGTGGCAGTGCTGCTGCTGCTGCTGCTGGAGGTAGGAGCGGAACTCTGACTTGACTGATGTGTGCTTGACTGAGGAACTTGTCCTACTTTAGAAAAAACAGAACCAACTGATTCACTCGATGCACTCACTGATGATGACATAATGGCTGGAGCAGGGTCCTTGCTGGAACCAGACTGAAGTTCTGGTCGTAAATCTGATGATGAGGATGATGGAGCTAGAGTACCGATTGTAGATCCGACAGGATAGGGTGCAACAGGCATAAAGGTAAGGGAAGAGGCGGACGGACTGTAACTTAGCGTCCCCATAGGATGATCAAATTTACAAGCAGCTCCAAACTTGCACACTCTGCGTTGTGAATAATGAATGCAAGGAGGTGCCCCCTGATGACATTACGAAAAAAAAGAAATAAATATCTGACCAACAATTTAAGAGAAACAAGACTACAGGTGATAATTCTCTGCATGTCGTAAAAGACTACACATTTTCACTGATACTACACATTTCCACAGATATAAAAGTGAAATTCAACGGTTCAACCATGCTTACCTTACCTTGCTTATTCATGCTCTTGAAAATTGTTTGTGGAGAATATAAAAGAGAGGTAATACACCTCGACCAGAACAGCCGACCACAAGCAAAAGAAGTAAACAGGGATAAGGGGCATGAATAGATAAATAAAACCATTCGATCACAACAATTTCATGATAGTTTCCTTCGTTTAACTTTTGTGGTTTCATGCAAACCGAGTTTCTCAGATATATAAATATAACAGTTTCAATCACAAACAACTTCTGAGAGTGCAAAGACATCCCACTCAAAGAGGTCATTTTACCGAGATCGTTGAATAAACCAAATTTTGATTATATAAGATAATAACCAGAATTGAGAAGAAGGCCTTAACTCGTGGCTGATCGTGGAATAATTGTTGACAGAACAATTGTGGCTCCACTCTTTCTCAAAGTGAACTACTAAGTCGACACCTATAAATTACCTAAAATCCAAATCTAGCTGAGAAGACCCTTGATATTTACAGAGATGGTGTAATCTACAAATCCCAGAAAAGACGATTCAGAAATGAACCACATAAGTGTATGGAAGATCACACCATGGAAGATAAGATGTTACGTACTTTCTTATGGGTTAAATGACACAAGAAAAGTTAAGAAGAAAAGCGCCGGAAAGAGACAGTGTTCGTATGACATATATGCCTGCATTCCCATAGCATGCCTTTTCACTTTTACTATAGAGCTCCAATTTCTCAAAAGAAAACGAAAGCTCCAACCATGGGGAAAACTCTTAAACATTTTACAAGGTCTAGTTGCAAATCGGAACACACAAAGGAACCCAAATGCAAAATAAATGCAGAAACATAATCAGTTGTTGCAAAAGCAACTGAGCAACGATAACTATTATTCACGCTGACCGGCGCCAAGTATTAAACATGATTAAAATTTTAAAAACCCAGCCTTGTATAAAGCATCAAATTTATATGGCGTTTTACGAATTCTTACTGGACGTAGAGGAAGACCAAGAGGGCTGAGGACGACATCAGCTTTTGGTGCAAGCACTTCTGGCGGATGATGATATTTACAGGAGGATCCGTATTTACAGTCGCCTGTTTTCATATAATACTGACATTCTGGTTGGCCAGGTATGTCGGGAAACGACTGCTCCTTCTGAATACTACTTGAAGGCCCAGCACTAGGAGGTACAGGTTGATAAGATCGAGTATAGGCAGGTGCTGAAGGAGATAACGGTGTTACTCCAAAATTTGAGCTTGATACAGCAGTGGCTCGAGTCCCGGGACTGACAGGTGGCTGCACCAGGTGCATTAACAACCTCAATGATAAAAGCTAATGAAAATTACTCACAGTTGAGGAAACTGAATAAAATTTTAATCCACCTACCGCATAGGGATTCCAATTCGCAACAGAAACCATGCCTGGGGAAAGCAGCAAAGGCCCATAAGGGCCTTGCAAATATGAGCCCGGCATCAGGGGAGGCCTCACCATTACAACTCCATACTGTTGAGAAGAAGGGCCAGATGGTGACTGCACAGTGGGATATAATGTAGGAGCAGGAACTGGAGTAGGCATAGGTGCAACTTGAGAAGCTGGAGATGGAGCAGGAACCTCTACTGCAGGTGGTGCGGGATGATGGAATTTACATGTTGCACCGAATTTACACTGCCCCGTCTTCACAAAGTAAGAGCATTCCTTTTCACCCTGGTTTAAAGTGAGATTCAGTTATTAAGCGAACTCAATAATACACATTCAAAAGATCTTAATGTCATGTGATACAAACCGGACGTAGTGGATATCCAAAATAATTTAGTGGCACGGGGTTAATAAAACCGCCTCCCTGCTTCGGGTGATGGTATTTACAGGAAGAACCGAATTTACAGGTCCCCTTCCTCATATAGTACTGCAAATCAGTGGAAACTATGATCAACGTAAATAAGCAACTTACTATTTAGCATTTTGCTAAATTGTCAAACCAGATACAATCTATTCACTGAAAAGCAAGACCAAACTCTATCCTTTAGACTTCAAATGAAATGACATAAGTAATACTTACCAACAAAGAATTTAGGAATGCACATTGTTGAAAATGTAGCATATCGACATACATACCGCGAATTTATCAAATATTTAAGACACGGTCTAATTCAAAAGTACCTGACAAACCGGCTGGCCCGCTCTTTCCGGATACTCCCCTGCGTTACCTCTTCCAGCCCCCATAACCTAAAGCCAATCACCATCATCAATCATCATCGTCATCATATGGCCTTTCTTTCAACAATCAAAACAAATGAGAAACAGATGTTTCTAAGACTACCAATTTACACTAGATCTTAATTCATTAATCAAAAACTTCCCATTTCCACCCAACGATTCGAAACCCCGTCACTCCAAAGACCATGATCAAAAAAAAATGAAAACCCTTCAAGAAATCTTCGAACCGGATCGAAAAAGATGAACAATAAGATCAAATTCTCAATTATTTACCGATGTACGGTCACGGGGATGATTGAACCGACACCTAGAGCCGTATCCACAAAACCCAGTCCTCAAATAGTAAATACAATCAGCTTCATTGGGTCTCTCCGGGTAAGATTCCGGCTCATCTCCTAATCCCAACCGCCAAACCAGTTCTGCATTTCAAACAAAAACCTCGTATCACATCCCACATTACAAAAATAAAATAAAAACTCAACTCCCAAAACGGAAACAAAAAAGTTCAGAAAAGGATCACGTTTTACCTTGGAGTCCCGTTTCGGGTCCCGGAGCTGTCCATTCCGGTTGGGAATCGGATTCTGGGTCCCGCTCCATTCAACGTACGTACAAACAACCTCCCTAAATATCCCAAATTTCAATCCGATCAAATGGGTGTTTACGTCTTCTTTTTTTCTTCTAGATATAAAAAAAAAGAAGCAGAAATAAATAACAACAAATAACCAGCGAGAAAAAAACTCTCTTTTTTCTTACACTCAACCGAGAAAACACACTGTTCTGTCTGTTGTTTTCTTTGGGTTTTGTTTGGTTTTTCTCTGTTTTTTTTTCTTTACTTTCTTTTCACTTTCTCTCTCTTTATGCTTCAGTTTCTCAAAGTCATTTGCCGTTTGTTTGATCGTCTCTCCCCCCGCCCCTTTCTTCTTTATGGGTTTGTTTATATACGCGCCGAATAGAGGGAAAAATAATTACCTAACACTTGATTTTTATGTCAATCAAATTACCGACGATAAATCAATTTTGATCACTATCATGCTGATGTTTCTCATTTTTAATCGTGATTATATTAAATCTTAATTTATATAATTAAATAAACTTAATATTTTATATTTATAAATTTTATCAATTTGATTTTTAAACACATTACTATCGTCATCAGGTACCATGCAGTGTCAAAGACGGAGACACTGATAGCAAAGAAAGTGGAAGGAGAAATCTTGACGAGAACAATGAACTAGAGCTGGAATCTGCTACCGGTGATGTTCCTACCATTTTCCTCCTACTGTAAGTAGTTCTTCTCCCTTGTGTGATTGAAATAATGCCAGCAGCATCACCAGTAATGGAGAGGAATAGGAGTTTATGTGTTTTCACAATGATGTGTTTAAGGATCAAATTGATAGAAAATATGAAGATAAAATGTTAAAATTATTGAATTATTTAAAATTAAGATCAAAATGTTTAAATATATAAAATACAAAGGATTAAAATTGTTGTTATCTCAATTGAAACGAGACACATCACATTAGGATTGCGGTTTGATTGACACCATAACTAAACATTTGTGACTTAATTGACAAAAAAATTGTTGAATGATCATAATAGAATTGATCATATAGTTAAATGGCTAAATAGATAGTTTAACCTATTAATTAAATCTATAGTCTGATTATAGTTCTAGTTCTAGTTCGATCAGATTTCTTGAGGTTGTTGAATTGCCTATTTTAATTATATTCAATTATAACCATAATATTAAATTTATATTTCATAAATTGTTCAAACACTTTGATTCAACTTATATTAGAGGCACTGAAATCAAAATTAAATCTTAATAAGATGATCATAAGTGTTTCTTATATGGATGAAGTAAGCTTAATAAAATATGTTTGATTTATTTTTAAAAATAAAAAAAATATTGATTTTGGCAGTTTTGTTGTTGGCACTGGCTTTCTTAATTAAAATGGTGCAATTATAAAATTAATTAATAAAAATGAAAAGTGGGACATACATATTTCAAGTGAAGTGTGAGCTTTTTAACTTGGAAGTGTTAGGAAAATGGGGTTTGATAATGACACCTACGAGGGTAACACTTTTTGGATTCACCAACCATTCTCCAACACGTGTTCTGAAGAATACCCTTTCTTGCATAAGCAGTTTAACTTGGCACTTCCTTTTCTTACGCGCTATGTCACAGAGCGTGAACATGTGGGAAATCCAAATAATTATAATATGTTAAATCAAATCCATCACACCGCTTGATTTGATTATGTACAAGCAATTTTGATCAAAATAAATAAATATTATCTGATTTAATTCGATTTATTGACAAAAAATTGAATATATATATTCAATAGACTTAAACTCAAATTTCATCAATTTTGAGAAAACGTATAAAAATTTATTTAGGTAAAAATTCTAAAAATTATGGAGAATTCATCTTCGTCATATCAGTTAAGCTTATATTATAAATAAGTATATATTGTATACTCTCTTATTTATTTAAGTACTTAAAGTAATTTTGGATTAAAATAAGTATCTAAACTTTTTTACCTAAAGTATTTTGATCAAAATAAGTATCTAAAATATTCAATTTTTTCATTTAAATTCTAAAAAAAATTGATGTGTACCATTAAGTAGATAATATTTTAGGTATTTAGATGAAAAAAATTTAATATTTTATGTACCAATTTTGATCAAAAAATATTTTATGTATCTATTTTGACCAAAAAAATAAATTTAGATATTTATTGTGACAAATATAAGTTTAGGTATTGTAGACACAACATTTCGCCTATAATATTTTGATTATAATATATATGATATACATACTATATTATGTAATAAACAAATATTAATTCTTTTTTGTTTTCTTTGTTTACAAGATCAGGCCCTAGGCCCGTTACAAATAAAATACATCCAGCAAAGACCCATTCCACGTGACCCGCGTTGTGGACAGCCCGAGCAACATCAGAACACGCGACCCGGATCCAGGTCCCGCTCCAAGTCTTCAACCCGAATCAGGGCTAGGGTTTCCAAACCATAACTCATGTTCTCACCAGTGCCGAGCCAGCGCCGTTCGTGTAGATTCCCACAGCCGCACGTCGCGCACCAACCAACTGCCCTGTCAACAAGGCGTCCGAGTTCCCCGCCGGAGCCTCTCCAACAAACGTGTAAACAACCAACAAACACGTTATTAGTGTTCTACTCGGGATTAAACTCTAAAAATAGCCAATAGTTTTGGCTATAAAATCATGTAATCGAACACAAGTAGGGGGGATTTGGCACACGACAAATTTCATTCGAGATCCACACACAGAATACATAAGAAAATACCGGTAGAAAGTGTAACCCCCACATACCGATGCGGGTAACCCGATCCGATCCGGGGTGTCACATTAGGGCCACCGGAGTGACCCACTGTAAAAATAGCGGAAAATTTAAAACTTTTATTGAAACGTGTAACTTATAAAATCAGTTGTCACTATTTAAAAACAAAACAGATTTCCAGACTCGTATATAAATCAAAATACAATTACATGCCCCTAATCACATGTACCATACTCTGCAACGCCGGAAGAACTCCCTTACTGAAGTCGATAGTTGCACTGGTACAATTCTTTTAACCTGAAAATGTGAGTAATAGAGTGAGCTTCGAAAAGCTCAGTAATACAGAACTACCAGATGATGCTGATGAACGTGAAGATACAGATAAATATATATTTCCTTATTGTTTCCGAACATTTATAGATTTTTATGCTGAGCAGAGATCCTACTGATATTTCAGGTGGTAACAGACAATGAACTTTCAGTTCAGATGGAAATATTTCGGATGACTGAATTCAGGAGATCAGAATATGTTATCTAGTGTGTTCCCATAAAACCAGTAAAAAGATACAGATTTTTATTTTAAAACATATATATATATACACCCCCATCCTTTCACAATATGTTTGTGTAGGTTCCCCGGAACCATACACCCCGCACAACTAGTAAGGCCCTAAGCACACAGCCGAGAAGCCTGCAGATAATCTTCCTCCAACAATAAACCCCCCAGATAAAATATTTCTCCGTCGGTAAACGGAGATATCAGAAATCAAAACAGAATTCAGATCAGATATCATAACAGAATCCAAATCAGAATAGAATTCAGGTAATGTATCAGAACAAAATTCAAGTCGGAAATCAGATAAAATATTTATATAATTAGGGAACACACCAGAGTTTACATATATTATTCAGAGGTACTGGATAATCTTATCAAACAGAAAAACACAGATCTTCAGTATACTGATAGAATATCGGAATTCAGAATCACTATTGGAAGAGTTCAATAACTGACAAAATCATCAATTATTCAGAATATGACTTGAGCTAGTAAGGAAGAAATGAAGGTTCAGGACATTTACAATCTATGTCGATTAATCAATTTATTGAATAACTCCAAATGAATAGCTCCCAGAAACAATACTTATCAACTTGTCAATTCATTAACCTTCCATGGTATTTACTCTTTAATACCAAATATTATTATCCATAGATCATCTTCTGAGTCATCACTGAACAGATCTTAAGGAGATAAAAAAAATATTCCAATGCTCTTAATTTCATTTCCACGCTTCCACAATATCATGTAATACTGACGTACTTGATTAATTTGTTCATAACCCATTGTAATTATACACTATGTAAACTCATCAGAGTTTCCAGACTTATCAAATTACTTACTAAATCCTCAATCATTGAAGTTACCTAGTTCATTTAGCAGTCATGTCCATTCCAGTTACTTCGGGATTTTCCAGAGTAATTCAAACGTTCCTGAATTTCAAATACATGTTGTATTTTCGTTCCATTCAATTTGGTCTTCGTGGTTGATTTATCGAACAAATGTCCAATTCTTAGTACTGAATGCGATCTAGAGTTGAGCTGAGCTGAATACTTCCAAAATTATCATTGAGCTAAACTTGAGTAGACGAACATGCATTCAAGTAATATCTATGTCGTTCAGGTACTGACATATTATTAAGGTTAATCGGCTCACTTAAGTTATGTTCCATAACTTTTAAAGGTAGTCCAATACCTATGCTTATTTGGATTCCTTAATTAATCCAAGGTATTTACTTAGTTTAGGCCATAAGGTTATTTTGGTAATTTTGGTGTTCAAATTTATTCCATTTATTTCAGAGCTCGAGGATATCCAATCATTCCTGAGCTTGGTGATATTCTTGGGTCGTTTCCATTACAGGGGTATTTTGGTCATTGTACAGATTCAATGTACTTTAATCATTTCCTTCCGACTGATCTTACTATTAAATTCAATCTTATCATTTATTTCAGACCTTTCGAACAATTCTGACAACAGAACACCCCCGACAAATTGTTCTTCAGGTATTTACTCATAACTCGGATATTTCCTGGTCAAGTGCCTTCTCAGATTTTAGAAATGGAACATCAGGAATTTTCCTGCACTAAGTCATGATTTTAACAATCAAATCCGTACTTAATCGAGTTAAGTATGAATCCTCTAAGTATTTTCTCATTCAGGGTTAACTCTGACTATTCTACCTCTTAAGGGCATTTCCGTAATTTCTTAATCAGATAATTTTGATATTATCTCTTAACTAAAATAATATAATTTAGAGATCCTATGATTAATTGCTTTCTTGAACACTCTCTGATCTTGAAATAATTCCCTTAACTGACTTATAGTATCTTGCATAAGCCCTCTTGGGGTTAAAAACCGATTATCCATAATTTCCAAGTACAACTAACATTTCTTATGCACATCAATATATTTATCATATCAATATGTCTTTTCAGATTTATTAATCCACTTCTAGGGACAATTCTTATCATTTTCCAATATAAGGGTAATTTCATATTTTTACCCTACCGAAGTATTCTCAT